TTTTTTTTTTCTACATTTTTTAATCTCTTTCTCGTTTACACCCTATTCTCGTTATTAGCTGACACATAGTAATCTCTATAAAAATTGCCAATAAAAAAAACCAACATGCATATAATATCGATGATGAAGTTGTAAGAGTATCGATATGAGGAAACAACTTTTTGGCCACCAATTTCAACTGAAAAAGTAACTTTCCGTCACTTGCGAAATCAGCAGTCGTCAATCGCGAAAAGAAACGATGCTCTTCACCAAAAAGAGTATCCAAACTTCTTTGCTTTGATAAGATAGAATCTATCATTATGGCAAAACCCTTGCTAACACTTTCCCATCCTGACAAGCACAACTAAAATTCCATCGTTAGTTCAGTAAAAGAACGCTGAAACTCCGAATATACAGAAAATGTAAATCACTACGATAAGTAATTATGTACCTCAACTGGAGGAACTTTTGAGATTATACATTCGATAACCTCATCAGGTAAATTAACACAACCAGTGGTTATTTCTCGCAAAATAACATACTTCATTTTTCACAGAGCTTAGATAATCAACAATTATACAGGATATAAAACTGCGGCATCACCTAAAGAAAATGATTTGAAAATTGTTGCAAGTTAATTCAAACGATACTTCACCAATAAATCCGGTACGCCTCGTAAAAAGTTTAATTTCACACAAAAGAACTACTAATCGAACATTTGGAAAACCAGAAATTTCATGTAAAAAACTGATAAAAAATAACGCAAAAAATAACTGAAGATAAAAGATAATTGAATTCAAGATAAAAAGTTACTATTAACTATTAGTAGTTCGTCATACTTTCAATTTCGGTTTACACGGACTGCTGTTTCAGCAGCCAAACATACAGCGTTTGAAAACTCATTTTGAGTCAGCAAAAAAAAAAAAAAATTACACACACTAAAACAGTTTCAAAAAACATAAAACTTATAAATGATCAAAGAAAAATAAAACAAAAAAGAAAAAAAAAGAAAAACCACGTCTGCCAACATGAAATAATAAGAAATATTGAAATTTATTTTGATAAAAACTAAATGAATTTACCTTACCGACTTTACACGCACAGATCAGCCGTTAAACTTTATAAGCTACAAATATTGAGTAGACAAACTGAAAGATGTTTGTCGAACGGTACTTGAAAATGAAACTGCCTATCGACGTTGAAAGATGACATAGACAAACAATCTCATACTTTCACATCTACCTCGTAAAAAAACTTGTGAAAAAAATGTTGTTTGAACTTATACAAGCAGAGGAGCATTTCTGAGGATCTAAATTCTTAAAGCAACGTTGAAACCCTGAAAGCAGATATTTCAGAAATTAAGAGCTTTCTTGCCGCAAAACTCTAAAGTACCAAGTGTGAAGAGAAAAATCAGCCTTTAGTTGTTCTAAACTGAAAGAAACCCAGACGAATTTGAAGATGTAAAAAATATTAAGATCGAAAAACCAACTTGACGGATGAAGACTACTGTTTACGGTTTTAATAAAACATTAAAATTCATACACTCAGACGAACAAAACAACATTCTTGACGTTCCATAACAGTCTTATATAAAATCTTCAATTGATAGATTCAGACAACAAATGCTAAACAGTAAATATATAACTATCACTTCTTAACAACCAAAAGCACTGGTAAAATGTGGCTAGCATAGAGCACATCCGCCTTAAATAACTACCAAATTGTTTTACAGCCGCGAAAAGCACCATAAATAAAAAACAAATATCCATCAGTTTTTCTCAGAGTTTGAAAGAAAAAGAAAAAAACAATGGCATGTCCTCTTCCAGTTAATTAACTGAAAATGGATTTTTCCGTTAGAAAAATTTTTTTCTACAATTGGTCCAAATAATAACTGTTGAAGTCACTACCGTTCACTGACCAAATACGAAGCAACAATTTTAGTACAATTAGTGACTTTAAAAATGGAAAATTTAAAACCTTATGCATGATAACATCGAAATAGCGTAAGTTTAACAACAAATATCAGCAAAAATTAGTTTTCAAAGCGCATATAGAAAGCGATTTAAAAAACAAGCAGAAAGTCATTCCAAGAATCACTGATAAAGTATCGGGAATCAACAGGCGCTTTACAGCGGCACCTACAATTTGAACACTAACTTTAAACATGTGATTTTTGCAACTGATACGAAAAAAAAGCTCAGTTGATGTGTTACTTTCAAAACAACGTCTGTACAATCTGGTTCATATGTTTCTTTCCACTCTTGCAAAGAAAAAAAAAACAAATAAATAAATAAGTAAAAAACATTTTTTACAACACCAAAAACTGTTAACGACTAATGACGACAAAAAATAAGAATTCGTCGCCACCTTTATCTGCTATACCAAAGTAATGAAAAAAAAAGCTGAAAATAAAAGATATAAGAGTAACAACAAAACAACAAAAAAGATCAAAACTCAAAAAACCATAAAACCTGTCGAACAATCATCATTATTCATCGTCTATCAGTTCAGTGAATGCGTCTTGAAATTAATAAACTTCGGCGGAACTTGAAATTCTAGTTACTCGAGAGAACAAATTACACAAATGTAAACAGGAATACCGGGACAGTTCAGTTACATCTTGAAAAATTCCCAAATTCATATATTCAGTTTTCCGCGCATTAATAAGTTTTAAAACCAGTAATCAAAAGACCAGAAGTGAAAAGTTTGTTGACCAAATAAACGTTTTTATTGATAATATTAAAAAAAAAAGAAAAAAAAGAAAGAAAAAAAATTTGAATGAAAGAAAGTACCTCAAAACAACAACATCTTCGTAGTTGGAGAAAAAAAAAAAGTACTACGATAAAGCGCCTGGAACCGCAAGATACGGCAATGAACATTTATTGACAGATAGATTAATCAATTCTGAACCGTATACGTAAACATACACTTACATGTTTGTTGCTGGTAAAATACTGATGAAAACACCACCATCGAGTCTACCTTTGTCCGTCCTGATACAAGCTTAAAATGTAACAACAATAATTCCAACCAAATTCTTTCCCTTACACTACCTGTAATAAAACCATTCCCTTCGCAGAATGAAAAAAATAATAATAAAAAAGACCGCATTAATAATTTTATTTA